AACATTGCTCCTGAACCAGTTATGGAGGTTGTTGTTAAGAAAGCTAAAATGGATGGTGCAGTTGATAAAGGCTGTGTGAAGTCACTGCTTTATGATGCAAGGAGGGATGATGCCGGACACTTGTTAAGTGCTGAAAAGCAGCTTACGTCAGATTTTTTTACACTGAATCCTAATAATGGAATTTCACACATGCACTATGACTCAGAGACTGTTGTAAATACAAAGGAGACTATGTTTGGTGACTTCCAAGTTGGCTCATGTCTTTCATATCAGCTTTCCTTTACAGAGTCAAACTTCAATGCTACAGCAGATATAGATAATGTTAMCAGACTACCTACASCACTTCTWAACCCTGTATTCCCAAGATTCCCGCTGTCTGATGTGTCTGAGGAAATGGTTGTTCCTGACAACCTATCACCTCCTGAAYYTGAACTCCTAGACAAATTGAAYATCCRAGAAGTTGATATTTCAACCATAGAAGAACAAACCAGGATGCAATCTCGATCTGACCKTTGGAAAGAAGAGAGAAAATTTAGATTCACTGCATCTAATTTTCACAGAATATCAAAGCGTGTGAGGAATCACGACACATTTGCTAGTGAACTCATTGATCCAAAGCCTTTCTCATCAAGAACTGTAGAGCATGGGAGACGATATGAGCCCATTGCATTGATGGAGTATGAAAAATTTATGCACAGAAAGAATATGTCCGTTCAAGTTTTGAAATGTGGCTTTGTTATTGACAAAGGACTCCCCATCTTAGGGGCATCACCTGATGGTAGAGTTATTGATGTTGGCTGTGTGCACCCCTATGGGATTGTGGAAATCAAATGCCCAGCTTCAAAATTTAATGTAACACCACTTGATGCATGCGGCGATGAAGGATTTTACATGGAAAAGACTGGGGACAACAAATGCTCTCTGAAGCGTACCAGCAATTACTACGCCCAGGTGCAAGGTCAGATTGCCATTACCGGTGCACAATGGTGTGACTTTGTTGTGTACACTAAAGTGGGGATGTACATACAGCGAATTACTCTTGATGTGCCCTATTGGGAAGAGCTGAAAGAAAAACTCACTACATATTACTTTAAACACTTTNTTTCACAATTATTATTTGACCTTTGTTCCATATCAATTTGAAATATTTCATTCATTCATGTCTTATTGTAAGACCAGTAATAATAAAACATATAACTCTGTTATATGCAAATGCATGTAGGACTGTAAAACAGTGTTTTGATTTAGCTAGCATTTGCTTCATGATCAATAGCAGATATAATGTTTGGCTGAAAATTGACCAGAAGGGCACAGACTGTCCACAATTGATTAGCCAAACCGAGTTGGTGAAGAGGTAGAACTCTGTCGAAAATGTGAAAGTTTTTGATCTTGTTGATCGCTCTTTCCACATGGATTCTCAAACTTGCAATTTCTTGCGTCTTGACTACGTCTTGACTAGGCATTTGGGTGYTGGTACTTCCAAGAAATGGGGGGAGGTTTAGAGAGACATCCAATGGCAAGATATCTTCAATAGTGAAGCCCTTATCAGCCATCACACTGTCACCACTGGTAAAAGRGAGGTCAAGAAATCCACTTCTGATTACAATTTCACGATCCGAAATGCTTCCTGTGTAGAGCTGACTAATAAAAGAAATTAATCCACCAGGTGAAATGCMAATAAGTCCCTTTAATGTTGTGTGGCTTTTGTAGTTGCTATACAACTCCCCATTCAATTGCAGACTGCTGGGCATTTGGCACTTTATTTCCGTGCAGTCGATGATAACTCTTGTCGATCCATACTTTTTCTTGAAATCTTCAGGCATTGTTCTGTTGACAGTTTCTCTGGAAGGCCATATCTTGAGAGCTCCAAGCTTTAAATACATAAAATTAATCCAAGATATGATGATCCTGCTAACTGTGGAGATCGATATATCATATAGATGAGCTAAATGTTCTTCAGGGAATCCTTGCCGTACACGACACATTACTAAAAAGAATTCATCTAAAGGGTCAAGACACCTTGGACGTCCTCCTTTATCAATGCTGCCAGAATTATCTGATGTGAAATTCGTCTTTGAAGAATTCCAATACCGGATATTCTCTCCTTTGACACCTGGATTCAGGTATCTGTACGTAAACATAAACGCGTCCCAGTTCTCGAAGCCTGTGTAGAACGTAGCAGCACAATCACTTGACATAAACTTATTGAGCTTGAAAATTCTCTTATCAAGGGCTACATTTTCTAATTCAAGTTCTTGCCCTTTACTTTCTAGCTCTTTTAATTGCAATTCGAGGTTTGTAATTTGCTCGCCTTGTGCATTGTTTATTGTCACAAKCCTTTCGAACTCAGTTGCGTCAAAATCTGTTTGAACGGCAATTTCAACGAAAACTTTTGGAATGCTTTGACTTACAACCACATCAAATACATCCTCATCTTCTGTTGGACCTTCTATTTCTTCGACTGTGGATGTACTCTGCCTTTGTTCGTCGTATAAAGCGTGTCTCTCTTTCGGTGGTTTTCGCTTGCGCGGCGAAGTGCGCTTCCATGAGAAGACCGAAGGAACAGCATCAGGTCGCAACTGGGATATTCCTGCTAAAGATTTCTTTATATCACTCGGCTTGAAATGTCTAGAACAAACCTTTGTTGCACTAGTGACTTTAAAGTAAGGCCCTTCTTCTCTTCGTATGGCGTGTTTCCACTTTTCCTTCAAGACTTTCTCGA